GGGAAAAAAAATACAAAAAAAAAAAACCAAACCCCAATCAGTGTTGGCTGGGAAGGGTTTTGTCAGCATCCCAGAAGGGCAGGGGCTGGAAGGGACCTCAGGAGATGATCCAGGCCAACGCCCCTGCTAGAGCAGGGCAAGAAGAAGAGGGTACCAAGCTGTGTTTTCACTAAAGCTAAAAAAAAAAAAAAAAACAAACCCAACCCAAACCATTTCAAGCTGTTTTCTCCTCTCTTTGGGTTTGATTTCCTCAGCCCCTCAGTGGTGGGTGGGTATTTTCCTTCTTTCCCAAAGCCTTGAGAGCAAAACGGGCTGGGGCTGCCCCCAAACGCCCTCGGCAATCCCCAATCGCCCACCTCCTCCCGTGGATGGATGCGGTGCGTGTGTGCGAGCACGCGTGTGTGTACGTGTGTGCGCGGGTGCGACTCGCTCCTCAGGTGCCTTTGCCTTTTTATTTGTTTAAAACCCTTGCAGTGTTCCGATGTACAGAATGAAACTAGGAAAAGAGAATGTAATATGATGCCGTGTAAAGTTGGTTTTTTTTGGTTTTCCTTTTGGTTTATTTTATTTTATTTTGCCTGTTGTGGGCCCCGCGGCTTTCCCTGCGCACCACATCGTCCTGTATCCGCGGGGAAAGGATGTTCTGGGGGGGGAGAGGCTGGAGCGGCCGTGTCCTGTCCCCTGCACACCCCCCCAGGGCCCCTTCCCCATGGGGCAGCCCCCGGGGCTGGCGCAGGTGGGGGCTGAGGGGGGGATGGAGCTGCTGGGCCGGGGGTTTGGCTCGAAGTGATGAACCCCTGCAGTCCTTGGCCCCCGTGGCTCTGCGTGCCCCTTCCTTGTGGCATCCCCCTGTCTGCAAATGCTTCAAATGCAATGGGGTCTATGTTTTTAAAATGGGATTTAACTTTAATTTCTTTTCATTTATTTATTATTTTAAAATATCCCTTATTTTTATTCTTTTTTTCCCTTCCCCCCCCTTCCCCCCTCCTCTTTTTTTTCCCC